CTAGTCCGCCCCATCGGGCGTCCCCTGCGCGCGGGGCCAGAGTTTCTCCGAGGGAAAGGAGAGATCCTGTCTTCCCAAACCTACTTTCTGCCCTCTCGGCCGAACCCCGGTCTCTGTCTTGGGGAGAGAGCAGAGAGATTGCCCTTTCTATCCAGGCCTGGGGTACTGGCCCTTCCGGTCTCGGGAGGAGGGTGAGGGAGGGAGAGCCGGGAACCCAGCCTCCAGTCCCGAGAGCGGACGGTCCTTTTCGCGGCCAAAAGATTTGTTTACACGTTTCCCCTATTGCTCGGCCCCACCTTCCACGCCCGGTGACTCGGGGCACAGCAGAGCCCGCCTCGGGAGTGGGGGGCTTAGGGGGATGGCTCTGGCGTCCTGATCTTTGGGTCCCCCGGGCCAAACAGAGCGCCTGCCTCGATGAGGGTGCACAGTAGTTCCGTGTTGCTCAGATGAGGGAATGGCAGTGGGCCGTTATTGCTCCTTAATCAATGAGTAACTACCCAAGCTTTCTTCCTCACTACTCTCAGAGTGACCTTGTTCAGGTCATGTCACCCCTCTGAATCTGTTTTTCCACTGGTAGAGTAGAGCTGACAAAAATTGCTTTAAAAGGTAATTGTAAGGGTTCCTGGATGGCTCAGTCGTTTAAGCGTCTGCATTCTGCCTTCAGCTGAGGTCATGATTCCAGGGTCCTGGGATGGAGCCTCGGTTGGGCTCTCTGTTCAGCGGGGATCCTGCTTCTCCCTTTCCTCCCCGCTGGTGCTATCTCTGTCTCCCAAATAAAAAAAAAATTACAAAAGTAGAAGGTAATTGTGAGGATCGTTTGAGTTCGTATTCAGTGAGCGGATTCGGGTAGAGGGCTGGGTCAAATCCCAAAGGGCCCTGCCTTTTGTCTCCCCCTCCCACTGATCTTGTTTTGTGAGTCCAGTTGACTGTCTTTCAGAATTGAAGCTACAAGATGGCTGACCAGGAGCCTGGGGGCATTAGCCCCCTCCAGCAAATGGTGGCCTCAGGGACTGGTGCTGTAGTCACTTCCCTCTTCAGTAAGATCTGGGGAGGTGGGGAGGGGGCAGTGGGGACAGGGGCAGACCAGAGATTGGAGGTGACTTGGTCCTGGGGGAGGGATCGGGGTGGGGTCCCGAAAGGAGCCTTCAGACCTGCCCTCCTCCTCCAGTGACACCCCTGGACGTGGTGAAAGTGCGCCTGCAGTCTCAGCGCCCCTCGGCGGCCAGCGGTGAGTGCCCAGCCCTGAACCCTGGAGCCCGTATGGGGTGGTGCCTGGGCAAAACATCTTCCCGAGGTGGGGTCCCCGGGACAGGTCGGGGCTCTCCTGATTTAAGGGACTGCCTTGTATTTTAGAGCTGATGCCTCCCTCCAGACTCTGGAGCCTCCCCTACACCAAATGTGAGTTCCCCAAGCCACAGGGAGCTTGTGAAGGTCCAGGGAAGGGAGTGGCCCAGTCTCCCCAGGGGACCTGAGGGCTCCACAGTCCTGCCACACACTTCCAGGTCCTATCAGCAAGCCCTGTGTCCTGAACAAGAATGTCCACCCAGGGACCACGGCCTCTGCTGGCCCCCCTAGGGATGGGGCTCACCCCCTTCCCTGCAGGGTTCCAGGGCACTGTCCTCCTAATGCCCCCTCCCCTTCCCCAGTGCCCTCCTCTCTCCAACCCACAGGGAAGTGCCTCCTGTACTGCAATGGGGTCCTGGAGCCCCTCTACCTGTGCCCGAACAGCGCCCGCTGCGCCACCTGGTTCCAGGACCCCACCCGCTTCACCGGCACCGTGGTGAGGAGTGGCTGTGCCCCCGCCTGGGGCTCTAGGCGCTCCAGGGGGATTCACGTTGGTTGGGCTGCAGACCCAGGGAGGAGGGGGTGATGCAAAGCAAGTAACAGTGGCCGGGTCAGCTTGGGAAGGGCTTCCCTGAGGAGGTGGTGCTTCTCTGCGGTTTTGAAGGGTGAGCGGGAGTCCGCTTGGAGCTAAATGCGGGATTGCGTGTGTGCTGGCCTGCGGGGCTCCTACCTCTCAGCAGGACCCAGGGCTGTGGGCAGAGATGAGGGCATCAGGCTAGGGCCGAGTCAGGGTGAGCCTCATCCCAGAGCTTATTCACATTCCTCCTTCCTCCTCCTGGACGGGTGTCCGCTTGGCCAGGACGCCTTCGTGAAGATTGTGAGACACGAGGGCACCAGGACCCTGTGGAGCGGCCTCCCAGCCACCTTGTGAGTCTCTCAGTCCCACACATTGCTTTTCCTTGTTCTACTCCTCTGATCCTTTACTCTCCGGTCGGGTGGCAGGGGCAGGGGGTGCCTGGAAGTTGGAAGCCTTTGGGAGTCCCGGCTAACGTCTGTTCACACTCCCAGGGTCATGACTGTGCCGGCCACTGCCATCTACTTCACCGCGTATGACCAACTCAAGACCTTCCTTTGTGGTTGGGCCCTGACTTCTGACCTCTACGCACCCATGGTGGCTGGCGCACTAGCCCGCTGTGAGCACAGCCCTGGGCCCTTGATCTCTCTCTGAGCCCCGGCTCTGCTGGAGCCCAGTCCTGGCTTCCAGCTCCAGTGTCTGGCAGCTTAGGGGTAGAGGGATGTCTTGGGCCCCCAGATCCCGGGAAAGGCGGCCGTTGGGCCCTGTGAGCTGATCTCTCCCCGCTATTCCCCCTAGTGGGCACCGTGACTGTGATCAGCCCCTTGGAGCTGGTGCGGACAAAGCTGCAGGCTCAGCATGTGTCCTACCGGGAGCTGGGATCCTGTGTCCGAGCTGCCATGGCTCAGGGTGGCTGGCGCTCACTGTGGCTGGGCTGGGGCCCCACTGCCCTTCGGGACGTGCCCTTTTCAGGTAGGAATCACAGATGCAGGGGGTGGGGTAAGGGAGCCTCTGGATGACATACAGGAGGTCTACAGTTAAGTCTCAGTTTTGCTGTTACTGACCTTGAAGTCACTTTCTGGGTCTTGAACATCTCATCTGTGAAATGGGCCCAGCGGGTGGGGCAGTCACCCAGGTTTCCAAGAGAAAATCCCCGCAGAGGGCTTGTTACAGAAACTGGCACGCCGCAGGCAATCCTCATTCTCAGGAGGGACGGTTGTCACGTCGCGCAGCAGTGGAAAGTGGGAGGTTTGGGGCCACCCCACTGCCCTCCCCAACTCTGACGAGTGTACCCATATGTCCCCAAGCCCTGTACTGGTTCAACTACGAACTGGTGAAGAGCTGGCTGAGCGGGCTCAGACCAAAAGACCAGACATCCGTGGGCATCAGCTTTGTGGCTGGAGGCATCTCCGGGACGGTGAGTTGATCAGGCCGGGAGCGAGGCCAGTGGATGTGGCCTTGGGAGGCCTGAGGGTTGTGGGAGGTGCTCGTGTAGCTGCCTGTCGAGGAGCAAGCTCGCCTTGCCTCGAGAAGCCCTAGCCAAGGCTGGCAGAGCCTGGCTAGACGCGAGGGCTGGGGGCCCCGGGACTGGGGACCAGCGCTCTCCGCATCACACCAGGTGGCGGCCGTCCTGACTCTGCCCTTCGACGTGGTGAAGACTCAGCGCCAGGTCGCGCTGGGAGCTCTGGAGGCTGTGAGAGGTGAGGGTTCTGGCTGGTGTGGGGCTGGGCGGATGGGGGCCCAAGTGGGGTCTCACCCGGGCCATGCCTCGCACCCACAGTGACCCCCCCACGCGCCGACTCCACGTGGCTGTTGCTGCGGCGGATCCGGGCTGAGTCGGGCACCAGGGGGCTCTTCGCAGGTGAGCATCCGTCTGTCCGCGTGTCCGCGCTCAGGAAGGATTGGGGCCCTCTTGGGCCCTAACCTCAGACCCTAACTCCCCCTCCCCCATTGCAGGCTTTCTCCCAAGGATCATCAAGGCTGCCCCCTCCTGTGCCATCATGATCAGCACTTACGAGTTCGGCAAAAGCTTCTTCCAGAGGCTCAACAGAGAACAGCCTCTGGGCTCTTAAAAGGAGCCAGGGGACAAGAACCCCATCTCTTCCCTGGATGGGGTTGGGGGTGGTGCGGAAGGAGACTGAGCCAAGTGCCTTGTCCTCAGCACTGAGGGGAGTGGCCTCATTTCCCTTCTCCCTCAACTATGAGCCCCAGGGGTACGGGGCTGCCCCTCGAGGCCTGCCCAGATCCCCCCCAACAGCTTTCTTCCTACTGTTTCTCATTCCCAGCCCCAAGGATAATCACTTTTCCACCACCACTCCGCACCCCAAGTTGAAGACCAAATCTGCTAATTGTTCCCTCCCTTCCTGCCATTTCCCTGTGTGTTTGCTGTAGCTGGGTCTGCTCCCAGGTGTCACAAAACCCTAGGCCTGGTGTAGTCTGCACCCATCCCTGTTAATCCCTTGACTCTAAAGATGATGAACCTCTGTCCAGTGCCTGTGACTGCGGGGTGTTTAGGGGTGGGTAGGGAAGTGGGACTTGGTAGTGACTTGCACAGAGGAGGCCTGGAAGGGATCTGGATGTTGGCTTTGACTACCCAGATGGTACCCATATAGAGGACCCCCCACTTTACTGAGAGCCGGGTCAGGGTGAGGACCCAGAGTTGAGGGGGTGACAGGTAGCGTTAGGGCTATGGCGGAGGGTGGTGAGACCTTTCCCGATGGACATACTCCAGTGACGACAGAGGAGGGAGGTTGCTTTGATGGGTCTGCAACTTTGGGCCAAAGCTGAATTTCAGGATGATGGAAGGAGAACAGGGCCCTGCCAGGGCTTGGCTCCTCCGTCCTGCCCCCAGGGCGTTCAGTGTCTTCCCGGCTGGGGGCTAAGCAAGTTACTAAGAATATCAGGTTGAATGGGGCATTTACATGTGGTCCTGCCCTGGACAGACCCAACATTTAGGACACTTCATACAAAAGCGCCCCACTTCCCAAATCATTCTGACCGGCTGGCTTCTGTGGGGCACAGACCCATTGTGTCTGGTCTAGCATCACCCTGGTTACGGGCCCAGCACTGGCTATCGAATTGTGCCACCTCAGGACAGTGCCCAATCCCAGCCCCCCACAGACAAAGTTGCCCTCAGTCTTCTGGTTTTTATTTGCCTGATCCCCTCAGAGCCCCTGTCCTGGGGGCTGAGGAGGGAGTGACTCCGGGGAATACACAGGGATGGACTGGAGAGGCATGGGGGGTGGGAGTGCTGAGGCTGGGCCACCAGCTCCTGAGGAGGGTGGCGGGGCTGTGCGAAGAAGACTCCGGTAGGAAGCCAGCCAGGTGCCAGGGTCACCAGAAGAATGGAACAGGCTTTCCCAAGGGCACCCTGTGGCCATGGTGCCCGTGCGCCCTGGCCCAACGGGCTTCCCCTTGTAGCCCCTGCTCCCTTGGGCAGAAAGTTAAAATGGGCAAGAAGCAAAGGGTGCCTTTTGCAAGAGACCCGTGGCTGGGTGGGCAGCGTTCTCTGGAAAAGTGGCCTGGATTGGGAGACTCTGAGGAAAGGTGGCAGGTGCCCATGCCCCTGGCAGGTGCAGCTAACACTGCCCACGCCGTTCCTCAGCTGGGGCTCAGTGCCGGGCTGCCTTCGGGACTGTCGCTCACCAGGCACTCGTTGGATTTGAAGCTCGCCAGGGACTTGCAGCTGGGGATGGAGGCCAGGGAGCCGCAGAGGCCCAGCATGGAGGGCGTGGGGTCCTTCCCTGGGGAGAGAGGGCGGGTGAGGCCGAGCCAACCGGTCTGCCTGTGTGTGAGTTGGGAAAGGGGGGGTAGCCCTCAGGTCACCCCCCGAGGAAATTTTCCTCATTTCTGGAGCACTTGGCGTTGTCAAGGAAACCTGGGGAAGTATCGGCCCATGCCCTGCACAGTGCCGGGACACTATTGTAATCGTCAGCTTACGTCTCTGTCTCCCCCTGAGGTTCAACCTCTCTGTCTGTTTATTAAACACACGGTGAGCACTTATTCCGTTCCAAGCACTGGGGATACAGAGAACGGACAAGACACGGTCCCTGCCCTCACGGAGCTCACAGTCTTGGGGGGTGGAGACAGACACACAGACAATCACAAACACAGTGTGGCGGGGTTCCACGTCCACAGCCTGCCTTGTCTCAAAGAAGATCTAAAGTCATCCAGTACAGTATGGTGTTTGGAAAGAAATGGCAGAAGTCCAGGCCCTGGGAAAACTAGGGTAGGGAACCAAGGTGAAGCCGGGGGGGGGGGGGGGCGGGGGGGCGCAACACAAAATGCATGCGTTGAAGTCCCGGACATTCGCTTGAAGGGAGCCACTAATTTGGCTCTGAGCTTCCTGGCAGCCAAAGAAAAGGGGGAAACAACGGTCAGGCAAGCGGTTCACAGAGTGCATGAGATAAGAGCAAATTAGGCGAAGAATTCCCCGAGAACCTGTAAGCCCCTTGAGGATGTCATGATGGCAAAAAGCCATTGAGCCCCCACCGTGTGCTACACTGGTGATTAATCAGCACCCCCGTGTTACCGCTGAGAAGGGCTCAGCAAGGTGAAGTGATGCACCAAGCTTGCACAACCGGAGAAGGCGCTGCTGGGGTTTGCAGCAGAGTCTGCCCAACACCCCAAACCAAGCTCTTAAATGCTGTGCTAAGCTCTCCGGAAGAGCTGAGTGAAGGAGGGACTTGGTCAGGGTCTGACCGCAGGCCCCAAGGCCTGGCCTCAGCCCTCCTTGGAAGAATGTTGGGTGCCGGATTGGGGGGCTCACCGATGGGGCCCCAGGGCTCCTCGTCCCGTTTGCCCTCTCCCAGGCGCTGGGAGTCCGAGCTCAGACTGGCTTCAGCCGACAGCGGCTCCGTGCTCATGAAACTGTGTCTGTGGCAGAGCAGAGGGCTGATGTGCAGGCAGAAGCCTACAGCCTGCACCCCGCCCCCCACCCACTAGCCCCTCTTCCCCAGTAAGGGCCAGCACTCAGGCCCAAGCTGAGCCTGGCTGAGGCTTACCTCCGGTATAGCTTGGGGTTGTTCGCACCCTCTGCTCCATTGAGCGTTCCCAGTGAAGGCCATTGGTTGACCAGGGGCGTGGTGAGGTCTTTGGAACCCTGGGCCAGGGGAACGTGGTCACCGGGGATCAGACCTGTCCTGGGATGGGGAGGAGGGGTCAGGCCTGACTAGGAGAGGGAGCAGAAGTGGGGAAAGGGGGCTCGGCAAGGGGTAGGGGGGTTATGAATGAAATCTGGGCAGCAGAAATGGGGACAGAACATTGAGGACCAGAAGGGCAGATCCTGGGAGTCAGTGGAGGGTGCTGAGGGTCAGAGAGGAGGTGGGGATTTAGTTTGCTCATGTTCATGATGGGAGTTGGAGGGAATAATGGGGTGTTGTGGGACTCAAGTCAGGGTGATGGAGTGGGTAGAGAATAGAGTGGGAATCCTGAAGGGTAACGGAGTATCTTGGGGGATCATGCCCGGAGGTCACAGGGTGATGAAAAGGTTTAGGCGGAAGCTATCAGAAGGATGAGTAACAGTGAAGTCAGGGGTCACTGTGGGGATGATAGTGGTTACGGATCAGAGGGGTGTTGAACAGAGGGAATAATGCGATCGTGTTGAAAGTTGGCTGAGTAGCATCTGAGGTCCTTCTGAGTAATGTTGGGGTCGCAGCAGTAACGTTCTGTAGCCATGGTAGCTGATGGATGAAGTGGGGCGCCGGTTTTGGGGGGTATCCCTGGATCTTATGTTGAGGGTAATTCAGTTCACTGGGGAGGGGGTCTTGGGGTGGAGGTGAGGGGATCAGTGGTTTGATGCTGGCGGTTGGTGGCACTGGCTGCTGTTCTCAAGAAAGGTGATGTTAGAGTCAGTGGGGGCGATGTGGTCGGGGTGGCCGGGACGGGGGCAGGGCGGCGGCGGCGCTCACAGCTGCTCCTGCAGCTCCAGGATCACGCCTTCCAGCTCCCGCTTCTCGCGCTGGTTCTGCGCCGCCGCCTCCTCCAGCTGCAGCTGCAGCCGCCGGTTCTCCGCCTCCAGGTCCTTCAGCTGCGACTCGCGCAGGCGCACCAGCTCCTCCAGGTAGCCCTGCGGGGCGCCGGCTCAGCCCGGGAGGCCGGGCGCGGGGGTCCCGGCGGCCGCCCGCCCGCCACCCCGGCCCCGCCGCTCCCCCGCCGCGCATCACGCACCTTCTGCGCGTAGACGATGCGGAACTTCTGTTCCATCTTGTGCCATTTGCTGTACCAGCTGTCCTCGTCGGTGACGAGCGGCAGGTACGGGTGCTCGGGCGAGTTGTCCTCGCTCGTACTGCTCTCGGCGCTGTGCCGCTCCTCCTCGTCGGTCAGGTAGTCGTAGCTTGGGGGAAGGAGCAGTGGGCACGGCCCGCCCTGCCCGCCCGCCCGCCGCCGTCCCCGCCCCCACCGCAGCAAACGCGCCGCTCACCTCTGGGTGAACTTTAGGTAGGGTGTGTAATCGATGACCACGGGGGTCTTCCCGTCCAGCACTTCGCCCTTTAGGCAGAAGCTGGGGGCGGAAGAACCACAGGGTGGGGGGGCGGGTTTGAGGGCATGCGAGTGTGGACATTCGCGGCTAAACGCCGCCGGCCCTCGCCACCCAGACCCCTACCTGAAGTCTATGGCGCTCAGTCCGATCAGCATCCCGGTGAGGACGGTGGCTTCCTCCCGCAGCATGATGGCTCCCGAGTCATAGAAACGTCTGCGGGGGGCGGGGGGGCGGGGGGTACGGAGGGACTGATGGTGCATCCTCCTCCTCCTCCTCCCAGGGAGACCCCACCTCTCATACCCCTGGCTTACTACCAACCCTTCCTAGAGGAAGTAGCTATCTCTCTCCCCTCACCCCTCACATGTGGATCTTGTCTCTCCCTCAGAGTGGCGCCCACTGTATCTCCCACGTATTAGAACTTGCGTTCCGGGAGAATACTCTCCTCCATCCCCTGAACTACCCCTTTCCCACCAAGTATGGGATCATTCAGATCCGTAAAGTCAGGAAACAAGTTCTAATCATTAGTGCTTGGCATACATGATGGTGCTCAAAAATATGTTGATGTGATCTCTGAAATGTGAGGACAGACTAGAAATAGAACGGAGTAAAACCATTAGGTTGTATGTGACCACTGGATGCCGGGGGGGGGGGGGGGGGGGAACCTGCCGGTGACTGTATTCAGTTTCAAACACACATCCTGCCTGTGACCTCTGCCCCTGAGACCCAATCTCTCTGCAAACCCACAATGCAGGGACTCAAGCTCTGCACACTGGGACAATGTAGTCCACCGGCGGCAAGTACAGACTGCTGCCCCTGTTTGGGGAGTAGGTAGGGCTCTGTGTTATAGATCATGGAACAAGGCCAACAGATAAAATGATACATAGTTGAGGCTTGTTCAGAGGCGTGTCTAAGGTAAGAGCTGTGCATGAGATCAGTACTATGGAGTGATGGAGAAAAATGAATTTGACTTGGAAGAAATGGTGGTGATGCTAAAGGTGTGTCTGGGACTGCAAACTCAGTGGCCAGAGGATAGTCTGGGAGAGGGAAGCTAGCAGTGCATGCTGGGAGTTGTAGTCCAGGTACTGAAGGTTGCTCCAGGAACTTAAGGATCAAGTTTGTTTAGGCAACGAACATGCACACTGGGACCTGTGGTCTGAGCTGATGGAGAGGGTCTCACCTGGTGGTCCGGGTGTCCCGCAGAGCTGTGGTGATGTATTCTGACATTCGCTTCTCCATCAGGGCCACCCGGATCCATGCCCGGCCCTGGAAAGCACACTCAACTTTATTTGTTGCCCTGAAGGGACCCAGGAGTACACCACCGTGTCTAGACCTCCTGTGGCTCTTCTACCCAGTGCCCGGAGGCAGAGTTGAGGAACAAGGAGCAGGCAATCCCCCCTGTATCCCCCTGCAGCCAACAGCTGCCCTGGCCCTGCCCATCACAGGCCCCTCACCTTGGCTCGGGCTGTGCTGATGTTCTCCATGTTCTCAATGCTGCTCACACAATTGTTGGGCACTTTGCTGCAAGCCAGCCGGATATAGTCCCAGAAGCCCCGCTGCCCGTCTGAGCTGAACCAGCTCACCGGACCTGCTGGGGCACAGGCTGAGCCAGGGCAGGGAGGGGGCTCAGCAAAACCAGGGAGTTTGTAGAGGGTCCGTGTAATGGGGTACACACATGCATAAGTATAAGCAGCCCCACCTGCACATAGTTCCTACCCCAAACATGTGCACACACATACATGTACACACAGGGCACGTACCTGCATGCCCACGGATGGGGCTTGTGGCCACCCACTGTATGTGGCCAAAAGACCCCCTCCCCTCTTTCCAGTGTGTGCATGGCCCAGCCAGAATTGGGGCCAGGGTCAATGATGGGGTTCAGAAAGCCACGAGGTAGATCAGAGTGGGTGGCCGGAAGCTAAAGGCTGGGAGTTGGGAGGGCTGGACCATGGGGGCCAGGGAGCTGGGCCCACCTTTGAAACGGTGGCTGAGGATCTGCTCTAAGATGGCTGCAAAATTCACAAACTCCTCGGATGAGTCATCGATGGGCTCCGCCGTGTATTTCTCTAGCAGTGTTTTCACAGAGAACCTGGTGGGAGGTAGGGAAAGGGGGCAGTGGGGTGTCCAGTGAGAAGACAGGGTGATGGTGGTAGAGGAGGGGTGTTAGGCAAAGAGAGGGAGTGAAGGGCAGAGGAGAGGTCATGAAGAGCATGGGCGTGGGGGTGAGGCACATGGAAAGAAGGTGGGAGACGGGGGAGAGATGCGTGACCACAGAGGCGCTGTGACATGGGAGTGATAGAGTGGCAGGTGGGAGACCGATTGACAAACAGGTGACAGGAGAGGTGACAGCCAGAGAAAGGAAGCTTCAGGAATAAGGTATGAGAGGGGACAGAACAGTAAGTAGGCAGAGGAGGCCCCTGGAGTCAGGGGGCTGTCCCAGAGCCCCTTCCTTCTTGCCCATGCTTTGGAGTTGCGTTTTTGATGGGTGTGGGTTGGGGGTCAGCTAGGAGTTAGAAAGTGGGTTTGTAGCCCTGCCTGGAGCTGTCTTCTGCTATTGCTAGAACAAACTTCAGTCCCTTTGGTGGGGGGTGGGGGGGTGGGCGTCACTTGGGCCAGGGCATGTGAGTTGAAACTGAGCACATGGAGCGTGGGCCTGCAGGGGTGGCCAGGTGGGCTCTTAGCACATGGATGCCCCCCTTCCCCCTTCTCCTTCCTAGTTTGGTCGCCCACACACCAGCTGCCCAGAACCAGGCAGTGCAGAGCTGGGCTGGGTGTGTGTGTGTGTGTGTGTGTGTATGTGTATGTGTGCAGGGTGTGGGTCTGACACACACACTGGGTGGGAGGGGGCATTGGCAGCAAATCTCTGGAAGGGGTCTTAGGGGCCCAGACACCTGGCTTCTCAGAGAGGAAGGGAACCACGGGAAGCCAATGGGGCTGAGAAACTGGAGCCCAGCAGTCCTCATTCCTCTCTGCAATCCTGCTTGGAGCCTCAGCTACCTCTGCAGTCCCTCCCCCTGCAATCTCCACCTGCCATCCCTGCAGTGGGGTGGGGCAGGAATGAGGATGCGGCTGGCAACATCCCATTATTGCCCTCTTGTGGGTGGAGGAGCAGGAGTGGGGGATCCAGGGCTACAGGGGCTGCTTGGAACTGCCCCTTTCCCCCTAAGCTTATCAAGGCCTGTAATGTGCCAAGCACTGCATGTACTCCTCATCCATCCTTACAACAGCTCTGGGAGGTAGGTCCTCTTAGCATCATCCCCATTTTACAGATAAGGTGACCGAGGGTTCAAGAGGTTGACTGATCTGTTCAGAGTCACAGGGCTTGTGAGGAGTCAAGTAAGTCTGTCTGATCCCAAAGCCCTTGCTCTTTCTGCCACATCCTGTAGCCTCCTGCTGGCTGTCACAATTACCAAGGCCTAGGAGCAGCCCCTGCCTCCTCTGCCTTCCACTCTGCAGGCTCCAGCCCTTAAGCACTGGCCTCTGAGGCTCTCAGGCCAATGGCAGACCTGAGCCAATGGACCCCCCCTCCCTTCTCTTTGGGCTTAGAGCTGGTCTGGCCTGAAATCAGAGCCAGGTCAGTGCTGGGGTTTGTAGTAGGGGGAGGCGGCCTGGTGGACTCAGATCCTGTTTCCTTGTGATACCCTTGCGACCTTGGACAAGTCACTTAATCTCTCTGAGGCCCAAACAGGAATAATAGTGCCTGCCCCAGACTCCAGGAAGGACTAGGGGAAGGGGCGTGTGTATAGCCCATTGGGCAGGGGTGGCCAGGAGCAGGGCCATTAATGGGAAGGTTGGCTCCGCCAGAAGGAGCCTGTGTTTGGGGCATTAGCTGGGCCTCACTGTGCAGCACACATACCACCCCCCCCATGATATTTTCTGGTCATCTGGGTCAGCCCTCAGTGGGGGCCTGGGGCTGGTTTCAGCATGGCGGCCATCTGCCGTCCATCCTCAGGGGTGCTGCAGAGCTGGCCATCGCCCCCGGGAGCCCCATGGTGTGCTCCCTATTAGAAGGTGCAGTGGCTGCTGCAGGTTACCATGGAGACAGGGAGGCCAGGGCCCAGGGGAGCCCTTGGCCTGCTAAAGGGAACTGTTCTGGGAGCTGGAGGCGAACCACATGACAGGGATGAGGTGGCAGAGGCCCGAGGGGTTTCTGAGTCTTTGTCATGCCCCCAACCCCCTCTAAAACTCTATCCCTCACACCCCAGCTCTAAGCCCACTCTCAATCCGCCAGAACCTCTGTTCCTCCAGCCTAGGCCACAGGGAGCTCCCCCCTTCCCATACACTGGGGAAAGCAGGCAAGAGAAAGAAGAAGTATCTTCTTCTCAGGGACAGGAAGGGTATCATCAGGACAGGGCGATTTTCATGGGCCAGGCACTAGGCTAGGCTCCTACGTGAATTATGCCATTACTTTTCCTTGGCGTGGCTGTTACATCTACAGTGGGGATGATGAGGCACCCAAGGCCCAGAGTGGTTAGGAGACTTCCCCACGGTTGCACAGCTAATAACTGATGAAGTAAGAGCTTGACCTAGGATCCTCTGGCCCCAAAGGCAGAAACCTTTGTTTTATACCAGACTGGCAGGGTTTGAGGGGTGAGGGTGGAGGCATCGGCCTGTACTTTGGGCTGGGTGGGCCATTGCTGCACTCATTTCTTCTATAACATTCCAGGCATTTTTACAGAGGTCTGATGTGTGTAGCACTGTGCTAGGGACTAGGATATAATGGTGTGAGACAGATGCAGTATGGCTGGGTGTGTGCACAGGAACCTGGAAGGAGCTATGGGAGGCAGGAGCCAGGGCATCAGGTGCGTGCTGATTCCTGGGGGAAGGAGCAGGGCCAAGGCTTGTGTGTAGACAGGTGGGGGTGGCGAAGCAGGACAGTTGAGCCTGCACTTGTAGCACCCTGCCCTCAGAGGTGGCATGGCGGGGGGGGGGGGGGGTTGCAGATGGAGAAGGCAGCTGGCAGGGGGTCCTAGAGGGAGGGAGCAGGGCAGGTGAAACTGAGGGACAGTGGCTACCGGCTCAGGGCAGGGCAGTGAGGGTGAGTCGCTGCAGGGCTGAGGCGGGAAGGTTCACTTCCTGGGCCCTCAAAAAGCAATCTTCCCAATGCTGCGACAGCCCCACCCTCAGGGACCAATGGCCCTGCCCTCCCAACCTCCTCCCTTGAACCCAGAAGACCCAGGTCTTCCGCAGTCAGACCCTCAGCCCTTCCCATGGCAGGCACAGTGCCCCTCACCCTTCACTGGGTGGATTCAGGGGCTTTGCCCACACCCCCAGTTGACCCTGCCACAGGCTGCAGCTGTCCAGAGATGGAGAAGGACACCGATCTCTGCTGCCGGGTTTGAGCATGGGAAAATCTCTCAGGAAAGCCCTACCCTGGAGAGGCCAGGTTGACAGGGGTGGGAGTCAGGGTATGCTAGGAGGGCGCTCGTCAGTGCTTCCCTGCCCACCCCGCCCCCGCCCCCAGCAGGGGAGCCAGCCATCCCACCCCTCCCCCTTACACACAATGTCACTTCCTGGTTTTCACAGGAAGCTGCAGTGCCAATGAAACACCCCTCAACCCCCAGGCCCCGGGCTGGGCATAGGCCTGACTTGGCCTAGAAGGGTAGGAACCAGACCTCCAAAGCCCCTCCTGGTCTGGGCCTGAGGGACAGTGGACGCGCTCCTCTTAACTCTGTGCTTCCTCCCTTTTCTCCGCGGCGGCTGTGCATCCTCCCGCGGGCACGCTCAGTCCATATTTTCGCAGCCCGCCCCGACGCCTCTCCCTGACCACCCCCCGCCAGCGGCGCCCACCTGCACACGGTGATCAGGTTCCTACGCTCCACGGCCACATTGCGGGAAGACGCTTTCTTGGAGGACAGCCCCAGAGCCATGGTGGTCTGGACAAAGCTCGCTTCCATCCAGATGTGCAGCCACTGCTGCCGCCACCAGCTGCCCCCCACCCCTCCTGGCGCCCCGGCCCCCCCGCCGGATCACGGCTGGGCCCTCTGCCCGCCGGGGCCCCTCGATGCCTGCACGGCCATCCCCCTGCCGCTGCTCCCGCTGCCCGGCCCCCTGGCACCCTCCCCCGGCTGCGATTCCAGAGCAAAACAAGGCCGGGGAGGGAGCTCTCCGAGGTGCTGAGCCGGGGCCTGTCACCCCCTCCCCTTAACCGCCCGCCCCCTCGGCCGGTGACGTCAGGGCCCTCGGGCCCCGCCCCTGGCAGGCCGGGCACCAATCCGCAGAGGATGCAGAATTTGGGGGTGGGGGCTGGGGCCCCAGGGAGGACGGAGGGGGTCCCCGGAAGAGGCAGCGATTGGAAGGAGAAAGAAGGGGCATGTCGCCTGTTCTCCACTCCCACACTCAGGGCCGGGGGCCCCTCGCCTCGCGTCTCTGAGTTCCGACGACTGACCTCCCTTGTTTCTGACCTGTGATCGGTGGTGTCTCAGAGTTTTCCTCCTGCTGCCGGAGAAAGGAGGTCCTCACCCTCATCCCAGCCCCGTCTCCCCACGCATTCAGTATCCGCGTTCTCAGTGAGGCCGGGGCCAGGTGTTCGTCCAGAGAGCGCAGGTGGTCCCTACGCGCTAACCTAGGAGGCCAAGGAGCTGTCGGAGAGACTGTATATCTGGCTTTTGACTTGTCAGCACCAACGGATGGATTCAACTGCTCCTAGGGTGGGGGATGGGAATCCAGAATAAGCTGTAGGAGCCCAGCGCCTGGAACCACTCAGGACAGTGAGACTAGACCGGCAGCTACGGGCCTGGACTCCATGGAGGTTCCCAGCAGTAGGGCTGGTGCCCACAGTGGTGCCAAGGCACGGCTTTCTCTCAGAGTCCTACTCCCTCACATCACCCCAGGGCAGCTGGCTTGAGGGTTAACCCCGTGGCTGCCAGCATTGCTGCATGGTGCCACCAAATCTCTGAAGGTTAGGAGGGCCCCTAAAGCTGATTGCATCTTTTAGGGGAAGGTGAAAGAGATGGATGCATAGTCTGGCTTTTTTGTCACCCTTTGCCTCCCAGTTGCTCTCTCGTCCCTGCTCTCACCTGCTCCATTCCTCTACTCAACCTGTTCTCTTTCATACACTGAAACCCCCAGCTCCCACAGAAATCTTTCTGTGTTCATTAAGAGGGGGTCCACCCAATTTCCCTATCTGGCTTTAGGAAGGTCCATCCTAGGGCTCAGCTCATATCTATTCACCAACTCTGTCCACCTGCTGGAGTTACTCCACTTTGCTAGTGTATGGTCGTATGTCTCCACATTGATTCCAATGTGCACCAACATCTGAATATGATCAGCAGGCAGGGACCCTCTATTAGCACAAACAGAGGAGGAAGAGATAAAAGGCCTGTACAAGTTCACAACCCTGGTCTGACTCCCTGGGGGCAGGGGAGAAGGTCCTGGCTCCCAGCACAGATCTCATGTCCACTCAGTCTCAGCCTCAATTCTTGGCTCCTGGGACCTCAGACTTGATTTTTTCCATTCCTCCTTTGCCTTTTCCCTCTTACCTCACTTCTAGAAGCCCCTCTTATCATCTTCCTGCCTCCAGATACATAGCCAATGCCAATCATGATGGTCTTTTGTTTTTCGATTGCAGGATATGCTATATGCACAAAAGAGCACATAAAACACATAGGTGCAGTTTAAAGAATATTTACAAAACAAACACCTGTGTCATCGCCTTAAAGATCAAGAAATAGAAATAGAAAATTGTCAAGAACTCAGGATTTCCCATATACCTGTCCCAGATCTCATCTTCATTCATACCCCCAAGAGATAACCACTGACCTTTATGATAATCATTTCCTTGCTTTTCTTAATAGTTTTATCACCTATGTGTCCATCAATAAAAAAATATAGTTTAATGTTTCTTTATTAAAAGAAAATTTTTTCTATAGTATTCTTTCTAGTCTTTCTATATTATTTTCCTTGTATGCTATTCCAAAGCATGTCAATACTACAGTTTATCTATTCTATAATTGAGGGTAACTTTGTGTATCAGATAGGGCCTAGTAAGAAAAACAGAAACCATATTATATATTTCAGATAGAGGAAATTTAATACAGGGAATTGGTTACACAAGAGTTAGAAGATTAAAAGCAAAAAAAGAAAGAGAACACGAGACACCACGGAACCAGTAACAAATGAAGCAACGAGGGCTGAGGGAACAAAAGAGAAGAGGTGGGATTACTACACCCAAGGAGCCCACAGGGAGGGCCCTACTGAGTTGGGGCTCAGACTCAGGCAGAGTCACCAGCAAGCTGCTGCTTAATCCTCAGAGGAGGCTTCTACAAAGCTGGTTCTTGGCATGCAGAAAGAAGCTGAAGGCTGGAGCCAACTTCCAACAATAGAGCAACTCTGAACAAAACCAGAAAAATGGGGAGATAGTTTCCTCTCCCTTCTTCTTGTGTTCCATCTCTCTCTAGTGTCTCCTAAGAACAGAACCTAACAGAAAGCCAGTTAGTAATGGAGTCTGGAAAACAAGTTTGCAGAGTCTTAGTTCCACCCAGCATCAGACAGCAGAGACACGAAGAATGGATTTGGAGCAGAAAGGCAAGAAATGAATAACAGGTACCCGTCCACCTCTTTTCCTGCTCAACATTTACACACGTTTCTATACATATTTGAACAGTAACAAACTTCATGCCTTTGCCTAGCAAGATGTAATTATCCTTTGTACAAAAGAAGATGCTCTGGCGCCCTCCCCAAAAGTGGAGATGCAAACAGTAACAGTATCCATTTCTGGGTGATGCTAATACCTCTCCTAGTTCAGCCACATTTCCTCTAGAGGATTCTGTAACCTAAAGACTAAAGTATAAAGTTCACTACCAACAACAACCCTTATATAAAATAATAAGGGTAAGAAAGGATGAGGGGAATTAAAATAGAGAGAAGGTATATATAATACAAAACAAGCAAGAAAGAAAATTCCTGGAGGCGCCTGTGTGGTTCAGTCCGTTGAGCATCTGACTTTCGATTTCGGCTCAGGTCATGATCTCAGGGTCCTGGGATAGAGGCCCTGCTCAGTGGAGAGTCTGCTTTTCTCTTTCTCCCTTTGCCCCTCCCCCTACTCATGCTCGCTCTCTCTCAAATAAATAAAAATACTTTAAAAAAAAAGATTTATTTGAGAGAGACGGAGAGCGAGCAGAGGAGGGGCAGAGGGAGAGGGAGAAGCAGGCTCCCCGCTGAGCAAGGAGCCTGATTCAGGGCTCTATCCCAGGACCCTGAGATCATGACCCAAACTGAAGGCAGATGCTTAACCATCTGAGCCACCCAGGTGCCCCTCTCAAATAAATCTTAAAAAAAAAAAAAAGAAAGAAAATACCAGTAGCTTCTACAATCTTTATTTCTGTAACTTGTCATAAGTTGATCTTTATAACTCTCCTCTTCCATTACTCATTTCATTTTCACTTGCCCTTAGCCAAAATCTCAGTTTGTTGTTACTGTTTTTTAACCATGTCAGGTGACCAAATCTTCATTCTTGATGAATCTAAATCCTCAGAATTGAGTTCCTAGGTTTTTTCTTTAACTTTTGCTATCAGACATGGAAGAAAGAGCCATACCAGCAAATCACATGGGTTCTAGACATAGTCCGCCCTACCATCATTGTATAGCTGCAACGCAATATCCCTTGGTATTTGGGATAGTCACCCCAGAAGGTAACCTCCTTCTGTGCTCTGAGCCCAGGCAAACCTTAATCTCCAGCTGAATGGAACCATTGTTACATTTAGTGAAAGGATTCTTCCCTTGGTGAAGTCAATGTTGTCCATGCTCCTTCCACATTCCCCAAGTCCTTGGGTACACTGGAAGAACCTCCAACTGCCAGGAAAACTGCAGTTCTTTCCCTGAGGGCTTTCTCTGGCCACTGGAGCCTGCCCTACTAACATTGGGCAGGCTGAAAGTTCTGGGGAATGGTACTCCCATCCAGAGGAACCTTCAAGGAATACTGGATGGGGATTGGTGAATAAATACCTCAGTTCCCTCAGCCCTCACGTGGGATGGTCCTGAGGCTCAAGTATTATTTTTTTTTTTAAGATTTTATTTATTTGTTTATTTGACAGAGAGAGAGAGAGTGACAGCAGGAACACAAGCAGGGGAGTGGGATAGGGAGAAGCAGGTTTCCCGCTGAGCAGGGAGCCCGATGTGGGGCTCGATCTCAGGACCCTGAGATCACGACCCGAGCCGAAGGCAGACACTTAACGACTGAGCCACCCAGGAGCCCCCTTTGACAATTTTTTAATTGAGTTGTTTGTCTTTGTGCAACTGATCTTTAAGCTGATGCTGATAATTTACTAAAAATTTCTGTAAGACGAAATAATAATTCTATAAGATGAGTAATTCAGTAGCTTCTTTTGGATTGTCTTGACACACAATTAGGTCATTTGCAAAAACAGGTTTGTTTTTTCCTCACCAAATAACAAGCATCCTTGTCCTGTGTCTGGCCTCAGAAGGAAAGATTTCGTTATTAAGTGTGATGTTTGCTATAGGTTTTTTATAGATATTCCTTATCAGGTTACAGAAGTTCCCTTCTATTCTTAGTTTGCTCAAAGTGTTAATCTTTAATGGATGGCAAATTTCATCAAATGTGTTTTCTGTTTCTGAGATGAATATATAGTTTTTACTCTTTCCTCATATTCATGTGGAGGTTTACATTAATTGATTTTTCTAATGTTATAAATTCCATTTATACGATAAGCCAGTTTGGTCATGGTGTATTCTAGTTATATATATATATAACTGGTTTTAGGTTGCTTAATGTTTTATTCATTTAGGATTTAAAAACTTATGTTCATGTGTGAGATTAACCTGTTACTTTCCTTCCTTGTACTATCTATGCCAGGTTTGGGTATTAAGATTATGTTATATGAGTTAAGACATGCCCTCTTATTTTTTATGCTTTGTGGAATAATTTGTGAATCTTTAGAAGCATTTGCTTCTTGAATATGTGGCTGAATTTAGTGATGAAGCTATCTGGTCATAGAACTGTCTTTGCTGATCCAATTTCTTTAATAGTTGTGGATTATTTGGGTATTCTGTTTATTCTTAGTTTTTTATTTTGACTTTGTCAATTGGTTTCTCCATTTTTAAAAATCAACATCACTGAAGAATAATTTTTTTTTTTTAGATTTTTATTTTATTTATTTGACAGAGAGAACGTGAGAGAGGGAACACAAGCAGGGGCAGAGTGAGAGGGAGAAGCAGGCCTCCTGCTGAGCAGGGAGCCCGATGTGGGGCTCGATCCCAGGACTCTGGGATCATGACCTGAGCTGAAGGCAGACGCTTAACGACTGAGCCACCCAGGCGCCCCACTGAAGATTAATTTACACACAGTAAATGCACCCGTGTTAATTTTACAAGTCAGTGAATTTTGACAAATGTATACACCCACAATAAAGATATGGAATATTTCCATCCCCAAAAAGATTTCTTTGTGC